CCTCTCCTCATAGGACTTGTGCTCAAGTCCCTTCACCAGCCTCGTTGCTCTTCTCTGGACCCGCTCCAGCACCTCAATATCCTTCCTGAACTGAGGGGCCCAGAGCTGAACACAATACTCAAGGTGTGGCCTCACCAACGCAGAGTACAGGGGAAGGATCACTTCCCTGCTCCTGCTGGCCACACTGTTGGTGCATTTTTTATTCAGCTTCTCAAAGGCAGTTGCTGCTGCTTTCTAACTCTACATGCCAAGGTTATTTTACTGTACCAGTTTCTTACTAATGGATTAATTCCAGTTCCTACTCTCTGTGTGCTTCAAGCAAGTTCTGCCAAAAGCATATGTTGTTTCTTTTAGTTTCCATTAATGAAATGTGTTGCATTTCATCATAACTCTCATTAATGATAATTACAATCAATGCCAATACCTCTTTCGTCTGAGGATTTATCAACCAGGACAGATCTGGTAGCATTTCATTAGTATAGATTGTCCTCCAACATCCCAATACCTTGATGTCACAAGATGACAATTATCCTGGAGCCAAAAATCCTCTCAAACAGGAGGACCTCTTGCTTGCAAACAGAAATAGTGTGGGACTATGTAGGGGAATGGTAAAAGCGGAGCAGCAGAGGCAGGTGGGACCCTGTGCACTCACTTTGGATAAGTTGTTGACGGTGGTGCTGGAGTTGAGCAGCTGCCCTTGCTCAGCAATGAGGTAGGCCAAGTGTTTGCGGCGCTGGGTCTCCACCGCCACGTCTGTCAGCGAGCCAGCCACGCGCATGGCCTCGCGCAGCAACACGTCTGCGTCTTCAATCTGACTTGGGATGTCTGACAGCGTGTTGAAGATGGAGGCGGAGTTCTCTGACTGGATTAGCTCATCCTCCTGCAACAACACAGTCATTTTTTGCCACACTGAGCAGTGAACATGACAGTTGGGCTCTTGAGGCTCCTAGATGCACTTTTACATTCAGTGCACACCTTGAGCAGGTACAACTGGACAATTTCATAAAAACAACTTCACCAGGAAAAGTCCAAGATACTTTTGAGAGGGGGACAGCATCTTTTCCTGCTCTATTACACCCTCCTCCCAGAATTATAGCTGGCATTTTTTTGAATCACAGCATTCATTCCCGAAATTAAATCAAATCAGCAAGGAAAAACAAAACTAAACCCATTCTGCACCAACCACTACAACAGGGCACCGCAGGGATCTTGCTAGAGATAAAAGAATGGAAACTGCTCAGTCTCACACACTACAGAGCACCTACCACATCAAACTGTGCTCTATCTTTCCCTTACTCCCAGCAGGATCTCTCTTGTCTTTTACACAGAAAACTGAACATAAAATTGTTTCCCGCATAAAAATGAAAAGATCAGGCAGTTAAATATAGGCCAGTCAAATCAAATGCAGTCAGGATAATGCTCATCTCTTAGAGTATTCAATACTGCCATCCAATGCTTCTCAGATGATCACAAATTTGGCTTTCTCTCTCTCCTCACAGATTGTGCAAAATCAAGGGGTATCTTGGTTTAGGTAACATGCACCCTCAGGATGGGATCTAGACTGAATAGAGAGGGGCAGCTGATGAGGTTTAATTATGGGGCAACAAATGATCTATGCACAGGAAACAGCAATTCCTAATTTCTGCGAAGTGCCTTAAAAGTTTCTCACAGCCTCCAGCTCCGAAGGCAGCAGGAAGTCGTCTTCCCTAGCACACTCCCAAACCACATACAGCAAATGGATACAAAACCTTCTTGTCCCTAAATCTCAGAATTAAATACTGAAGTATTGTAAAGGAGGAAGAGAAATGGGGAATCACCTTCATACTTAGCATGCCCAAAGTGACTTGGAACAGCACCAGAGAGCCCTCGTAGAAGAAGAGGTCCCAAATACGCAGCAGCAGCTTGATGTGGACAACACTAGCAAAAGAGGTGAGGAACCAGTGCAAGGTGATCAAGGAGAGCTCTGTGAATAAAAACATGGAAAACAATCACAACAGAAGAAGTCAGTCAACCAGTGAAGATGGACTCTTCTAAGGGCTGTTCTCCAAGCACTGCCTCTGGGGTCAGGAGGCTCGCTCCTCTCCCTATTGCTCTCCTTTTGTGAAGAAAGAACAGTCTTTGTCTGCACGTCACCCTGGCAAGAAAAGCTATGGTTTCTGGGGCACACTTTTACCAATGTCATGCTCCTGCAGAAGCTTGTCCAGGCGAGGCAAGTACTGCACGATGAGCTGCCGCAGGACACGCTGGTCTGTCTGCACGCCCATGAGAGTGGTACTGAAATAGGAGGCAGGAACCAATTCCTCGATGATAGCACACATCATCCAGAAGGCATCTTCCTCCTCCAAGAAGAGCAGCAGAGAAGCAGCCACCTAGGATTTTGAA